CTTTCGAGCCTATACAGCTTGGAGTAAGACAACATGCATGAAGAGGATGATGTGGACAAAATACTCATTTGCCTAATAATTCTGCACTCCCTTTGATTTAAAGGAAAAGCCCCTTATCCCTGGGAAATACTTGCTGCTAGTCAGATCATAAGATTCTCTTGTGTCTGATGTACGGTGCCATGCTTACCCACCTTCTTGTTTCATTCTTGTTAGTTTTTCTTAGTCTTTTTGTTTTAGCTGCACATGTCAGTCACTCTAGCATACCTGCCTGATGTTAACCTACAAGTTGTCAAAAATGCCCTTGAACTTCTTCCCGCTTTGGGTCAATTTTCTTGACCCTTACTTGCTTTCTGTGTCCTGCGATTAGCCTTTCTCATCACATAAGGAAAGCTTTAGGTTAAGGGGGTTTTATTATGCTCATTTCCACGTCCATAATTTTTTTTGCTATACTTTATACTGGGGCCTTGATGCAGTCATTCACATCATCCGCAGCCTGAAACAAGCTGTTTTACCTCTTCTTTCTTCAAAGGCCACCTTCTCTTTAACCCAACTTTCTTCTTACGTGCTGCCCATCGCAACCATGAGGTTTGAACAGCCAGAGCTGTGTCCCTGAGATGACCATATTAGGAATATCCCCTCTCACTGAAGTGATAAAGCTCTAAAAGTAGGGTAAAAAAGTACAGGTGGTTGCCAGTGCTACTATGGTGTAAACTTGAAAATCCTGGTTGATTTTCAGAAAAGTTGATCTCTGACCTTGATCTTAATTTCAAAGTTACTGAAACTTGCACTCGCCCGAGATTTATAGTAGATGCACGTATGGTATCAAAATCATACGTTGCCTCGTTCTGGAGTTATCACATTCACAAACTTGGGAGTCCAGGCAGCCCTACCGCCTGTCCGCCTGGCAGGGTGCTGACAATACCCCATCATCCTTTTACAGCTGAGGAGTTAAAAACTGTCAGGAACTGGGTGTTAAGAGCCGACTGAAGCCTAAGGTTATGGATCACAGGGATTACTGGTGCATGATTAACATCAGCATCTCTTGCTGTAACAGTATAAATATTACAGAAAAAGGAAAGGAAAACACAATAGCTCCAATTTAAAGTACTTTCAGAGCTGTATGTAAGATGTCTAATATCTCCACCAGGCCAGCGTTGATTCATTTTCTGTAAGTTGTTAATGGATTTTAATGCGGTGGCATTTTTGCTTGTATTTATAACCGTTTCACAACTGCTTGTACCACTGACCTCAACAACAAAATACGATATTAGTCAACGTCTGACACAGTTTGTCATGGCATGCAGCGTGGACGTAAGACACAGTCATAGTCTGATAAGAAGCCCATTGTTCACACAGAAATGAGCAACTTACAAATAAAGTTGTGCAAGAGCTAATATGAACTCTGGGGGGAGGATGTGCTTTGCGCAGTGGTTAGGACTAATTAGGAACATTACACTCTTTATTGTTTTAGGAGTGGGGGGGGAAATATTAATTTGCTTCTCCCTTACGCACTCTTTTGTTGTTTTCTAATGCAGTTCCAGTGCTGCAGGAGAAGTTGTACACTCGGCATGAAACCACTGTAAGCATCATTTGTTACATTGCACCATGTGCTGTACCTTTGCTTTCATTTCCTCTAGACCCACTGTTGCAACAGTGCTGGCCTGCTGCTTGTTCTTCTTCTCCTCTTTCTGCGGCCTCACCAGACGCTGTAGCCGGTGCTTGATCACCTGGTTTCACCGAGACCACAGCGGCAGGCAGGGTGAAAGAGAACAGATGAAGGAATGAGACAAGACACGCAGCGGTGTGAAAGGTTCATCTGACATGACGTCTGCATTACAATCCCTGCCTCTGATTTTGCTTTATTCATACATGTTTGGCAGTCAGCAGGCAGCTGGGTGTGAAGCTTAAAGGGGATACAGATGAGGCAGGAGTTCATTTCATGATCAGCGTTAGTACCATGTCCTCAGCACCGACCTGAGCGGATATTAGTTTCTCCTGCCTGGGAATCAAATAAAACTTCTCACATGCATAATAAGTGATAAGATTCGCACTGCAAGGCCTCTCCTTAAAATTTCAGGTGATTTTGTCTCAGAAGAACATACTGACATGCTCAGTGGTTACATTTGGAAATGAAAAAAAAGGATGACAATTACAGGCAACAATGAAGCACTAATGTGTTTTATAAATAGTGACTGTTGGTTGGTTTCTGAAAACCAGCGGGACAATAACTGTTAATTATCGCTAATTATACCGCAGCTACCGCAGGTCTGGTTTCATATTGTGATTGGCTGATATGTGCGGACTTGCATGCACATTGTACCTCATAGATATAATCCAGTATTTCTAAGACTGTCAGGATGCTGGCTCCGATGAATAAACCCATCTGTCCACCAATGTCACCTGAAAAGAAAGGACTTAAGTAGTGAAGGAGAGGCCCAGCGGACACAATACCCAATCTGCTCCCATTTTCTGCTAATGATAATGAAAACTAAGCAGCACTGCAATAAAAACAGCTTTCACTCGGCTCCAGCGAGAGCATTTCATATTCTGAAAATAGAGGAAAAAAGAGGCAGAAATTACTTACCCAATAAACCTGCAACATCGTATGCCTTCTTCTGCTCAATCGTTTCATAGTTCAGAGCTTCGAAGAAGATATCTAAGACCAGGAAGTTGTCTCTGGAAAAACAGTGTGAATACCATAGAGAACAGTGAAATTCACTGGTAGAAATATAACGTAGTTTAAAAAAAAAGAAGAAAAACATCAAGTCATCTTTATGCTCACTGTTAACTGCCAGGCCTTCAGCGCTTTACACAGATCTAACCAGCGCTTGCGAGATAATGAGGTGTTACAGGGTTTAACTGAGACGAGCTGAATGTGCGCTGACGGCATGCTTAGTCACTGCCACTTCCCCGATGTCTGCGGATTTAGAAAAGCTGGTAATATTAAATGTAGTGAGGCATCATACGCGCATTCGTTTAGCCATGTTTACTTTCTACACATCCCCAACAATTAGGCACTGAGAGGAACTGCAATGAATTACTTAGAATTTAAATATTAGCAAATGATCTATATAAGATACTGCGGAACAGAGACTAAACATGTTTATTCACAGCTCCGTGTTTTGATTTGATCGATTGGCTGCCCTTCCAAAACTAAAGGTTGGGACAGCGGCTGGTCTCACAGGCAGAGCAGAGGAACTGGGATGTCTGTTTTATGGACATTGGCTCTTATTGACATCATAAAGACCCCAAAGTAACTGTCTGAATGTGAGTGATTACAGGCAAATACACTGACGCCATTGCTTCAAACTCTAGCCATGTTTAAAAAACTCTAACAATTGTAACAATACATACATTTTTGGAAAATTTATATATTTAAGGTTTGTCAATTCAAAGATTTTATACATCAGGATATTATCAAAATAATAATAATAATAATAATAATAATATAATATCCGGATATCCAAAGTGTTGTTGTTCATATGAGTGTTATTTATCTAATTTTAAGGCCAGTTAAGAACCAGATGATTTTTATTATGTCCTGATATGTAAAAGAACTGACAGAGGGTCTTCTTTCTTTCTTTCTTTCTTTCTTTCTTTCTTTCTTTCTTTTAAATCATAACTGTACATGAGAGAAAAACCAAAAAGCAGCCGAGGTCACCTTTAGTCTTTAACATACAGACACAGAAACTTAGAATCTTATACTACAATAAATATTTCACATTGTCAGATTAAATAAAAAGGAAGATGCTCATACATCTACACACTACTGCACGACGAGCAGTTTTATAATACTGTACAAAATATAATTGAGTTTTGTTTATTTTTATGGGTGTGGGTCTGTCAGTGATTGCAGGCTGGAGGTCATTGTTTATGGCCATAGCACTGAGCACCACATCACTGCTCATAAGTGTGTTAGGTCCTGCTGAAGGTTCCCTGCCGTACCTGATGTAGTCCTCCGACTTGTCGTATTTCCTGGAGAGATAGCGAGCTGAGCCCTTGCTGGGGATTTTGACCATGGAGAGCTCTTTACCGTAGCGGGTGAGATTACAGGGCGTCTCACATGGACAGATGTCCCCGCTATTCTTCTGTAGCTGTGCTGCAACACAAAATGGCAGTGGTGCTGTTTAATAGACACAGACTGGGTCAGTTTCACTTCACCTCAGAAAAGAGATCCGCAACACAGATACCAGGTGGTAACTATCATTATGTACAGCTTTGTTCTTGCTTTATAAATCACTATTTGATTCATTTGTGCAGTTTTGTTTTGCCAGAGTCAAATTGTTACACTCAGTAAGACTAAGCGCACTTGTGTGCTAATGCAGTACAACATATACTTGTATATACTGGCTGATATGGATGAATAGGCTTGTTTTTATGCTTTACTGGGTAGAGCAACACTTTGTGCCACTACTAAGCATAGTTTAATCATATTAATCCCGTGCCATGCAAACTTCTCTTTGCTAATATTTCTCCCAACTGACACTGTTAGAGAGGCAAGGCTGAGATGGTTTGAGCATGTGCAGAGGAGGGATAGTGGATATAATGGACAAAGGATGCTGAAGATGGAGCAAGAGGAGGAGGAAAAGAGGAAGACAACAGAGAAGCTGCAGACAGTTGGTGTGACAGAAGGGAGCATCCGACTGAAGAAGAAGATGATATTTTGCAGCTTGTTGGTGGTTTGTGAACACTGATACAAAGTTACAGTTAATTCAATTAACTTTTTGCCTTTTTGTGTAAGTAAATACTGAAAACTACCAGCTATGTGGGAGGAAAAAAAGCCATTAGTACAATTCATTCCAGTGATGTCACTGTGAAAAGCCCAGATCGTACATAATGGTTTATTGAGGCTGGATGTAAAAAAAAGATGCATGTACAAAAGGCATCCATTGAAGTGCTGATGTGTAAACTGGAAGAATGTGCATAAAAATCTGTGGACGTCACGTGTATTTCACACTGTAGTATAAAAAACCCCACAGATTTCATCTAGCGTTCTTTTTTCTTTTTTTTTAAATCAAATGTATTTTGTTTCATTATTATTATAAATGTATCTAGTATTTTATAGATATTATTATATATAACAGCTACAAGTGTGCTCGTCCTGCTCCTCGCCCTCTGCCAGGGTCCTTTTACTCTGAATTTACAGAGCTAAGAGCATCCATACATTTGTTCTTGCTCGCTTTTTTCCTTCCTTTTTTATCCCTTTCCCTGGTCGTGTGTCTGTGATTCCAGAACTGAGATTTCCATTTCCTCTCCTCCGGTGAGCGTCTCAGTTTCACGCTGGTACATGTGAGCTCCCCATTAGCTGCCGGCTTAATTCAAACATCTAATAATTTCAGGTGCAAATTTGTATACAATGAGGAAATAAGGGCGTGCCCACATCCTCTCCATGGATAAAGATAGGAGTGGAAATGAGGCTCGTGCATGTGCATAAAAATCCACAATAGCCGAGATTATTAAATGTGGATGCTGCATATGCATGGATTTCTAAATCTGATGAAAAAAAATATTAGCATGATTCTGCCATTGTGTTTACACACTGTTTTAGTCACACTCTGAATTTTAGGCGTGGTGTCAGACTGCTCAGACTCGCAATAACATTGCACTTTATTAGTCTTACTGACCAGTCAGAGAAATTTAGAAGCTGCTCTTGTCTGTGGGAAGACAGACAGAAGGCATCATAGCTTTTACAACATAACACCCCAAAAGTTGGGACACTGTATAAAATGTAAATAAATACAGAACACAATGATTTGAAAATCTCATAAACCTATATTTTATTCACAGTAGAACACAGAAGACATTTGAGACGTTTAAAAAGAGAAAATTTACCATTTTAAATGAAATATTAGCTCATTCTAAATTTGATTGAAGCAACATGTCTCTATAAAGTTGACACAAAGTCATGTTTACCATCCTTGCTGAAAGGTGCAAGAAATCATCTGATTGGGAGCACATGTTGCTTTAAAGTCTTATTTAACTTTCAGTATTGACGGTACCTTTCCAAATGCTCAAGCTGCCAACTCCATAGGCGCTAAAGCACCCCCGTGCTATCAGAGCTACATGTTTAAAGCTAAGCAGGATGGAGTTTCCATGTTTACCGAAACAGAATTTCAAGTTTTGATTCTTATAATCACGGAACAATTTTTCCACTTTGCCTCAGTCCACTTGAAATTAATTTTGCCAAGAGAAGATGGCAGCTGGCCATTTTCACATGACTTATTGTCTAAACATCTTAACAAAACTATCTGTTAGTCTAATCAAATTACATAAGAGACAGTGACTATAGTAATGGTGTTTCCAGTAATCCCGTGGCAATATCCACTTAGAGAATAAATGGTGAAGAAGGGCTACATTAGGCCTAATTAACATGCAGGTATGAAATGCTCGCACACTGGCAAATACATTTTTATAGTCCTGACTTTAAAGCATCACAGTGCATGCAGGAGAGTAAATAGCTTTTCCCAGCCTGTCTCTTTAAATTGTAAATGCATTCAGTCCAGACAAAAACGGGTACGGGAGGCACTGAAAGCATAATTATAATTTGATGATTTATGAATTTTATAACTTAAACAATTAGGTTATTTGTATGCAGGAGCATGGTGGCATACATCATTTGTCTGATGTGGGAACAAAACATCTTTATAATATAAATATATAAATTACATCTTAATGTATTACCTTTCATGGGGGCTGAATCTATTAGCACTGTCTGATTCAGGAATATGACCCCCATGAATATGGTCCATTCTTGCAAGCTATATCTACAATTTCATTCAGCCATGTTTTAAGCTGGGTATGAGTTCGGTGAGAGAGACTTAATTAAATTTCTGGCTTATTTGGCTGATACATGATAATTGTACTTATGTCCACTATGGCAATAAAAAAAAAAGCCTTTCTTTTACTGGAATACTCTTACTTTGAAATCAAGGTTCAGTATCTGCTGCAGGGGCAAGGCTGAGGGGTCCAGATATGCAGGAATGAAGGGGTTTTCATATTAAGAGTTCAACAATGGAAGCAGAACAGTCATCAAGCTCTAAAGTGACTAAATCACAATGAGGAAAAGTCATTTTAAAACCCAGTCTACCTCCAGGTATTTGTAATACAGGGGGAAAAAAAATCCTTATCATATTTACTGATTGTGTTTCCATTTCCCTTCGGGGGAGTCTATTATAATGAGAAAAGAAATGAAGGGAGATTGTTTCTTACCAAGCGCTTTGTCAACACAGTTGATTTTACTGGGAGGGCAGATATCTGCGGTTCCTGCAAAGGAGAACAGAAAATGAGTCTGATCAATCAGAAACAAAATGATCAGTGACCCGTGTCTGCTGCAATGAGGAAGCGTGGCTGTGAACAACACTCCACAGCTTATCATTCATCTCCAAATGAAGGCAGGCACACAAAGGATGACTTCCATCCACGGAGTCTGGGCCATCTTGGAAGTCTGTCCTTGATTGCACTGAGAAATGGAGCATGCTGGCTCCACCCGCGAGGCATATTTAGAAAGTCTTTAAAAACCAATCAATGAGTCACTTCCTGGCAGAAAAACATGCTACCCAGGCCATTAATGACAGGTATTCATCAGCAGCACAATTAATTAGCAGAGGTGTGTTTGTCTGTCTGTGAAATGTTCATGGGGTTAATGTTTTGTGGAATTCTCCTTCCCAGACGCTAAGAAATGTTCATTGACAGGAAGCAAAATTACATCTGATGATCTGAGGAGTGTGTTTTTACACACTTTCACAGATATGCCTCTTTTCCAGGAGCAGAAATATCAAAAAACATCATTAAATATTATTCATTATTAAACATTATCCTTTTAACTGCCTTGTGTATTTTACTTTTTCAGACGTTCTGACTTTGAAAGCAAAAGCAGTCCTGTCGTCACATCAAGAACAACTTAATAGCTTTTTTGGGAGGTCCTCTAAATATAGAAGTAGACTGAAAGACTAAAATATTAACACAGATCCAAGAAAAACACAATTTTGCTTCTACGGTTCACAGTTCAAAAGTCGTGAGGTTTAAAATTGGCCACGACTTGACCACCTCAAAATGCAACAGATGGTGGCCATGTTTGTTTATTTTTCAGTGATACAGCAGGGTGTGTTCACTGGACCGCCTCAGCTTCCCTTATGAGTTTTGAACCAGCAACCCCAGAATTAAATTTAATAAGCAACAATAAATGTTATTCATTATTGATAAGTGCAGTGAACTAATGCGAGCTAGCCGCTACCTTTGCAAAGCTCTCATCTGCCTCTTCTGAGAGCAAATGGCCTGGAAAAGCTTCCACATTTATTATTTCTGACATAATAAATATCATATCTGATGTGATACATCACCACAGAAAGCAATGTGATTCTGCTGGTTTTTCTAACCACCTCTGCTCTGTCCTTCCTGTTCACTGATTTAAAGATTTCCCTTTTGCTGTTGTCATTCATTAAATTGCATATATGGGCTATTCTGGCAGTTTAAAAAAAGTAGAATTCATGTGGATATTCTTTGCTTTTTTACATATTTGGATGGCCAAACATTTAACATTACAAAGGGCGATATAATGCATATTAATTCCCATTTTAATTATTTATTAAAATTAATAAAATAGCCACGTGAGAAAAGTAAACACGTGCTGCATTTATTACAGCAGAAATTAGGGGCTCCAGATTTGGTGCCAAAGATTAGATACACCTCAGAGAGTGACAGGTACAACCTGTCTTATTTAAACCTCTGACACTGACAGCCAGGTGTTGTCTTTGCCAATGATGTGTGTAGTGTCATCATGCCAAGATCTAAAGAGCTCTCCGAGGCCTTTGGAAAAAAAATGCTGCTGAGTGCAGCATTTGAAATTCCAATGTGCACCAAACTGTGGAGATTTCAAACGATTTATCCAGGACTGTCTAAGAACCGCAAAACGTCATTAAAGGGAGCTCTTGCAGCTGCTAGTGTCAGTGCATGCGTCTACAACCGCATATTCCACAAATTAAACCTGAAATGAATCTGAGAATCTGGGGGGTTTGCCAGGAAAAGGCTTTTGTCAATGAACATATAAGCAAATAACAGGCCTGTGTGGCAGAGAAACGATTCAAAGATAGAGCTGCTTGGCCGCAGAGACAGCAGACGTTTTTAGCACAGACCAAAAGAGGTCAGAACCTCATACCAGCTGTGAAGCATGGTAGTGGAAATGTTTTGATTTGGGGGTTATTTTACTGCCTCAGGAGCTGGGAAACTCATAGTGTTTAAGGTTTAAAGTTTTAAAAAGACCTGATTGAAATCCTACTGAAAATTCTTAATAGAAAAAGTGTAAAAAACAGAAAAACAAATGAAAAAAAGACCCTGCAAGTGTCCTAACATAGCTTCTATGCTTACTATTCCAACAGGAGAATATTGCATCCAATAAATAATTGAAAAAGCTGTTTTCTCACAGTGTTATCCAAGTATATTACAGTTTTCTGTAGGCACTTTTTTTTCTGTGGATTTCTCATCTGCTGGGTTTTCAGAGTACAGAGTGTATGCAAATGCAAATGCAAATGTTTCTGGAACAATTATAACCAGGTTCCTCCCAAATCATGACATAGCAAGTTCCTTTAAGGCATGCAATCTCTCCGAGATCAGACCACCGCTTTGGTCTTGCCATTTCAGTCTGCAAATCCAAGATTAAAATGTGTGACTGCTATGTAAATGTGTAGGCTGATAACCACAGCATCGCTCTGTCAAAAAATGTGATGAATCAGATCGGCCTCGAATCAGCTGTCTCATACTTGTTTATTTAATCGGTTTCTGAATGTCAGCTGCACTCAATGCAAAAGTGGAAATGAAAAAGAATACATGATAAGTTTCTTGTCTTAACTTTAAATGTGACCACTCTCAGCATGCCTACTTGCTAGACACATCAAACAGCCAGCATCCAGTGACTCAGCTCTGTGACTTCCTGCTCTTTAGCCATGATGACGCACACTCTGAAAAAGTCCAGAGAGCTCATTTTGTGTTTCTGGTACTCAACTCTATGACATATCCTCACACTGGGAGGAAAACTGCTCAAATGGTGACATATTACTAACCAGTGTTCTCGGTTTCCTGATAGACCTATTTTTACATCATGTCTCAAAAATTTGTAGGTTTTGTACATCCATTCATGGTCTGCTTTCCCTCCAGTGCCAAAGTGTTGTGTGAAACAACTAATTACAAGATGAACTGCTAACTTTGGCCACTTCCTATTAATCCCATTCAACAGAAGCTGTCTGCAATTGATGTATAGGGGTGCTTAACAGAGAAAAGAAAAATTGCAAAGAAGCAAAGAAAATTGCACTATGGAACTATGTAGTTATGCAGATAACTTAACTTGGCTTTAGATTCTTGTTATTGGCTTAAAACACTAACAGTAGTTCTAAATTCAGCTATTTCTGAGTGACATACACATTCAGGAATTTTTTCTCTTTTCTTTAATGTTGATAAAATAAAGAGACAAAATCATACACAAAAATAACAGAGCTTTATTTTAATTTGTGCTTCATTAAAGTCAAGACCGAGTTTAAATGAGATATGTGCTCCTTAGGCAATATGTCATGATGTAAGTAAATAACCAAATAATTCAATACAAGCAGCAGTAGGCTACTAAGGGCAGTTTGTAAGCAACCTACCAGTAGAAACCAAACAGGACCAATACCAGTAATAATAATCAATCATAATAATTAATAATGGCTGTGGGAGGACAACAGAACAATTCCAGGACAGATGGAGATAGATGAGCAAAAGTATCCAAACCTCATTGAGACTTTAGTCTGATGTGCCTGTAGCCAAAGTGCTGGCAGCAGAGAAGAGCATACCACTCCAGATATCAAGCATCAAGGTCAGGCATGTGGCAGTCCAAATTATATCTATGCTGGAGTGATTCAAGTGGGCCAAAAATTATGACTTGTTTTGCACAATGGTTCATCAAATCTCAGGCAAATACTGGGCAGACTGGCTTTTCAATTACAGCAGGTCAACAAGGCGAACAATTTTAAAAACAGAAGGAAATACTTGAAAATACCAACTCTGATTAGTATTTTTTCCTCCGCATATTGTTGTCGTGTGCCATTTCATGACCTGGAATGACTATTTTAAGTTCCAATCATACATTTAGTCATTACGGTTCACAGTTTGGCACCTTATACAACATGTCAGAGAATGAATTACTATTGTGTGTCCATTTGAAATGATGCACACAATCCTCTTTCCCCCCTGAAACATGTGCCGCTCTGTGTAAAGATAATGTAGGGGCTGATCTTACCGGGCATGTGCACCATTCTGCATTTGCACACTCGTAGGACCTCGTTGGTCTCACAGAGCAGGCGACAGGCACTGATGCTGTATGTGTCGTATCCTGGGAACTTCTCTTTGCTGGTGGAGCGGCAGTTCCCCCAGGGCTGGGGCAGGTAGGTCAGCTAAGCACACAAAGATTTATTAGACCCAGTCTGAGCCACCGGGGTTGCTGGGAGAACAGTAATCTGGTGGTGGGTGGTGGTAGCGGGTCAGCAGGGGCAGGGATGGTGCGCTAAGATGAAGACGACCTACCCTCTGCTCCTGACAGGAAACAAAGGTCTGGAAGCCCGGAGAGACACCGAAGCCCAGCTGGTGGATGTAAGGAGGCTCGTCCTGACTGTGGATCTGAACACGGATGCCGGCCTCCAGGGATGTCTCATCTTCTCATCAGGATGAAATGGAGCACGGATCGTTGCAAAGAGAAAATACAAGGGAATTTCAGATGGCTGCCTCATCTGACAGCTAGGGCTCGGTTTGATGTTAACCGCAAATCATTTATCAGTCATGTTTAAAAAATAGGCCCGTAGGGATTAATTTTATATGACAAGTACAATGCATACACAAATCAAAGGAAGTGTACTGTGTTTAGGAATTCCCTTTTACAAATCACATTTGCAGGTGGAGCAAAACAAACAGGAAATGCATTATTTACAGTACATGACCAAGACAAATAGATGCAGGCGGTTATTGATTTAAACTGCAGCAGAGGGTATGTCACAGCATTGCACAGGATAGGATTACAATAGACAAATAGTTCTGAAGCTTACTTGTCTCTCTCCAGATTGGCAGATACTCATCCTGCTGAATATCCAACATGATCTCCAGCCCATTTCCCATTCCACCCTGCTTGGTTTTCCTGGATGTAGTCTTGTTGCCATTAAAAGTGTAGCATTTCCCATATCTGGTGTACACCTGGGAGAGAACAGATTGATATCATGAACATCACCATAAGCGTGACAAAGTCCAGATGCCGCACGTGACGCGCTCATACAGGCGCACTGAAATTAAATCAGAGATATGGAGCAAAAAATAAACAAGCCGCATCTCTGCCTGGACAAGTCGCTGTATATTACCCACAAACCTCTGGATGCAGTGAACGGCTCAGTCCCTCGCGGATTTTGATAAGCAGTATTTGAATCAATTTCCAACACCCACCACACAAAACCTGCACAATGCTGCTCAGTAGTAGCACCATCCCACTGAAATATCAAATGGCATAAGAGATTCTTTAATCTCTCTTCAAAAGAAAACAAAAGACAATAAGAGAGAGGCTGCTTTAAGTAAGATATCACACCACCACCTATCAGGGGAGCTGTCTCAGTAGGGAACACATCATCTCTTTGTTTATACCTCTCATCTAAACTGCTGCACTATGGAAAATATAATTCTTACCAGTCATTTAACTGTTATCTGAAGCTTGTTTTAAAGGCACAATCCGTGATCCACATGCAAAGAAAATGGTCCTGTAGCAGCACCACCAATATCCAGGATTGTAAGTCTTTCACAGACACAGATTAAGGATTGATTCTAAAGGCAGTTTATTGCTTGAAAAACTGAGTCCTTCATCTGAACAATGATGATACAATCATAGCTTAAACCCTGTCACCAGGTATGGCAGGTGTCCAGCTTTGGATTTCTTCTCACGTTCAACTAGAGGATGTCAAGCTCTAGTTCGATAGCCAGAGGGAAACTGTCAAGAGAGCTGAGGATGGCTAATTTTTGCCGTTTCCAAGGCAAAGAAAAAAAAAAGATACGGAACATTTATCTATATAAATAAAAATGGTAAACGTAAGAAACCAAGACTAATCCTACCCAAGGTAGTGATACTTGTGATATTTGGTACATTCAGTCTGATCGCACCTTTTCACTTAACCCTACGTACATATATTCTGAATGTCAAATCTCAACGGCTTTTCATCAAGTGGCCCAAAATACACAAAATTAAATATTGTAAAACTTCACACTGATCTTTTTAAACTGATGTTGTATCCATTCAGATGGATTTTAGATCCACCAGTGTAGGTCAAATCAAGGAAAACGATTGGTTTTAGGGAATCTTGAAACTGTGAAATTGTACACGTCATGCCTGCGTGTGTGTGTAGATGTCTGCTGGGCAGTCTGGCTTACTCACACAGTCCATAGACATGCATGTTAGGTTAACTGGTGCTTCAAAATTGACCGTGGATGTGAGGCAGATAAAGTGCTTCAAGTGTATAGCTGTATGAATGTATGGTTAAAGTGTGACTTCTATTTAAAAGTGCTTTGAGTGGTTAGTAAGGCTAGAAAAGTGCTATAGAAATACAAGAACATGACATAACATTTGCACCTACATGTGCAAGCAGAAGCACCCACAATGCAACAGAAAACTATAAATAATACAACAATAATAATCAATTTATTCTGAGTTAAGGGAGATTAAACTACATGGGATAGTGTGTTCTACGTGTTCTATGTGTTAATAAATGTTGAATTAATATTGATAATTATAGATGGTAGCTATACGGATTTTTAAGTACAGCAGTGAGGACAGTGTTTAATGGTTTTAAAAGTTATATAATAAATCCCAACAGTTCCTCCCAGTTTCACTTGCAATAAAATATATTTAAATGTTATATTTTCATATGTTAGGCATAATGAGAATGTGTGTTCATAAAAGTTTTTCTTCAAAAATCTGAACCACAGTCTAAATAGATCTGTGGTTGAAAATTTAATATAGATATTAACTCCTGGCCTGAGTCAAAAATGAAAAATTGACTTTACTGCTCCGCATGCCAAAGTATCCTTGGGCAAGATACTGAACTTTGAGGTGCTTCAAATGTGCTCATCTAAATGTGTGAATGTATGTGAAGTTCTTAAGCGTAAAAAGAGAGCTTGTATGAATGGGTGACTGAGACATGCTATATAAAGCGCTCTTTTAGAATTACCATACAGTGAAAGCATGACATGTGAAGGGTTAATAAGCTACTTATTACAACTGAAGCCAGTGTAGAAGTAGCTCAAAGTTGCATTTTTTTAATAGCTAGAAGGAGGTGGATTCATCAGATTTTCATTTATGATTTTAATACATCTTTTTTTTAAATTTAATTTGGTTCATCATTATATACTTTTAAGTCTCATTTAGAGTAAAGCAAGGTATGCTTAAGGATTTGGCAACCTTGTGGCATATAAACTGTTACCTTACGAGCATTCAGTGTCTTTGGGTTCTCATTTAGATCTACGCCTCACTAATTCAGCACTCAGTTATACAAAAATACATTCAAATTTCGGTTTTTCCGTTAATGACATCTTTTGGTTTTAAAAGATTCAGATGGAAACTCAAGGCTTCTAACCACCACAAACCGCTCGCTAACATAAAGTTTGGCTACATCCATCTTTATATACAGTCTTTGGTTGTTTTGCACTAAACCTGTTATTCGTGTATGCAACAAATAACGGGAGAATCCTTTAAAGTGACCTGTTTTTAAAAAAATAAGCCAGCTAGAAATATTTAAAAGCAGTATTTCCTACCAACTCATGCAGCTGCTCTTAAATTAGCCAGCTCGCTGCAGCTGATGAAAATGTTCACCACAGCTGTCATTTCATCCAGTAAAACTGGAGACCACAAGCTAAAAATGAGAGGCCTGTCTCTGTCTACTTGTGTGAACTCAATGTTTCATGAAGAAATAATGATGGATTCAAACAGCACTTGTAATATAGCTTTGCTGTGTATGCAGATCCCTAAAAAAATTCTCAGACTACAGCTTTCCCAGCTGAAAAACACCCATTTTTTCCCCCACTCAGAGTGCCGAAAAATAATCTGTTGGATTCGTTTTGTCCAAACATCAAATAAAAGAGGACAGTGATGAAAGTATTCAAGCTTAGGAAATCACATGGCAGGAGAGGTCAACAGACAAGGCACTGGAGAAATGACAGTGAAATAACAATTGAGCTGAGCAGACAGCAGACATATCATTAAAGAGACAGTGACGGTCCCTGCATGCACAAAAACATAGAATGCCTGTGATCTGACTTTGATATCAGCTTGATCCACCTAATGAGTGCTGTGATGTCTAAATAAGGGACACTGACGGAACAACACAAGCTCTCATTTACAGACCACAGGGTGTACCCACATTTGAGATGGTTGAACAACAAATCAAAGCCATGGTTGTGGGGTTCAGTCAAGTAATTCGCTGGAACAGTTGGCAATTTTGCAATGTCCACAACAGTGATTAGAGCAAGAAATGAGTAGTGTTTACAAAAGCTGTTTAGACGGACAGCTATATTTTATGCAGTAATAGGCCTCGGGGCCTTTGATCTGGCTCTTTGTACATGCTAGTTTGCACTGAGTGTCTGTGTGTGTGTGTGTGCTTTTTTGAATGAATTTCAAATAGTTACCTTTAAAGTGCATCTTGGTTGAGGAGTCAGACAATTTTTGGACAATTACAGATCTCGGCTCACGCTCTGTTGTGGTATAAACGGTTTCTCTGTTAGTTCTAACAGCCAATATGCATTTTTGTAAATTGCAGCATCTTCTCAGCTGGTGTGATTAGATAATGGGACGTGGCAAAGTGTGGGCGGAGGCCCGTGGGAGAGACGGTTCAAGTATTCAAGTGTGACTTTTGACTGACATGTGCTATTAGGCTGAAATGGTTTAATCTCTGTTTGGCTGGTGCGGTGCGGCTGAGGAGGTAAGCTGCACTTATCATTGATTCCCCGCCCCCACCTGGGTTCATTGACACACTTAAGCCTCGACTGGCAGTCTTTATCTGATGGAGCAAGCAACAGAGGCAAAGGAGGATTTCACTTCAGAAATGCTCAAAACACCCAGACCAAGTGCCTGGGTTACGCTCTAAAACTTCAGGCTCTGGAGGACGCCGTGTGTTCACAAATGATATCCCCCAGAGAATATGAGAAAGTTTTCCCATCATCTCACCCAGGAAATGGATGTTGGCAGAGCTTCCACTGGTTTATTTCTCAGTTCCCACCTACCCCCTCTCCCTCCCCTCTCCTTCTCCATCTCCTCTTCCTGCATCCACAACGTGATTGATGGAGCATTTTTCTCTTGTTAAATCTTGCACCAAATTTAGTAAAGGTAACAGGACTGACTTGGGCAAATCCCAAGTGGGGACCTGGCACTGCTGTTGACAAGCTGAAACAGTGCAGCGGCATTGTAGTTACAAACCAGATGAAAAGAAGCCTTGTATTCCTCTGAGTAGCTCAGGAGCTAAATTTTGCAGCACTCAATGCAGCATTGTTCAAAATATCTAAAACAACATCACCTATGTGACAGTGTTTTAGATGGTAATGAAAAATTGATCAAAACATGTGCTCAGTTTCTGCATTATCCTGTCAGTTATGTCTGCGAGAAACCTAAACTTGTTTCTTTGTATAGTAGTTGGACTATTCAGAGATGAATTACCAACTGAGTAAAGCGAGCTATATTCTTCCTTGAGGCACAAAAACCTCATACTTAAGCAAACTTTAAGCATAAAGTTAAGACATTTAGTGATGTCACCTAATGTACTTGAAAAATACACGTTTTAATGTCTTCATCCCACATTTGTGATCAAAAGTAAATAAATGAAATTATCCATACATGTTGCATTGTGTTTATTGAGGTCACAAACCCGGACATGAAAAGCATCACAGAACATTAGTAATGGCTCATTTCTGAGTCTCTGTGCAAAATTTAATAAAGCTATTAAGTGGAGCCTGCTGTGCGCACGAGAACACATCAATAGTACAAAGACAGCAGGAAGAATATGGCGTCCTATCCCTATATTTACCCTCTGCATTGACTATCTCTGGCTATATATGTAACATCTATTGTCCATCCAGTACAGGAGCGATGTTTTCTGTTAAAGGTGGATTTTTGTCTTATGTTCACACCATAAAGGCTTTGACACAAATCTGTTTCTCTTGGCAACATA